AGAAATAGCTGAAAGGATTCAGGCATTATGCTGGCCTGCCCCTGTCACCTGGCAGAATGCACTCAGGCAGTACTCTGGTCAGCCCTGGGTTCCATGACTACTAGTCTGCACACAGGTCAAAGGACCCCTTTAAAAGAAAGACCCCGCCCACTTATGCTCTTTTCCAGCCCCTTTTCTGCTCTTTCTTTCCCCCTCTCTTCCCGGTGGGTCCCCTGGGGCAGACTGGACTTTTCCTGTCTCCCTCTTCTCTTCTGTCCCCTCTCTGTCTCTGTGTCTCTTTTCCTCTTTTCTCATTCCTTCCCCCTCCTGCTTTCCCTTGCTAATAAACCTTCTCACTAAGCTCCGTCTGCCTGGTATATTTGTCCCTCTGGGCCGCCCCCCCCTGCCATGAAATCCGCCAAGGTCTCCCTCACACTATCATAACAATGGCCACTGTACTCTCTCCTCTGAGCACATTTAGGGCCCTACATCTCCCAGGACAATGATAGTGTAGTCAGACTGAGCAGGGACAAGAACATGGGTTCTGAAACCCACTCTAGTGATTTGAGTCTGGCTTGGATAACATGAGTTGGAGCTTTCTGAAGCCTCAGTTTCCCCAAGTGTACAGCCATCTTAAAGACTTTGCAAATCATACTTTGCAAGATTGTTGAACAAACCCACAATAATGTGTACACACAGTACTAACATTTTCACTGTTAGTAATATACCATACCAAGGCCGGTGGAGCTTGGAAGAGATCACTGTAGGGAGTGTTGACGTGGGGAAATGAGGTACCATCGTGCAGCATCAGAGAGGTTGTCTTCAGGTATGGAGTTCCTTGTGGCTAGGGGAGAGAGGAAAGCTGGTGTCAGTGAACTGGCTATCTGTCCACAGCAAGCAATGCTTCACATAGGGAGGGTCATGCTCGCCCCAAAGCTGTGAAAGGAGAGGCTATGCTTTGGGTCAAGAAGTGGGAGGGTCATCTGGGAACAGCTGAACTCTGAGCACTATGCTTACAGACTCCAACATCTGCCCTCCTTGTCAAGTTCTCAGAGATAAATAGAGTCAGTCTGAAGAGTGGTGAAGGGCCCTC